TTTATACTATACTTATTTGAAATACCATTAGTGAATCCTCTAATCTTGACATTTGTTTTTATCATTGTTTGATCCTCACATTGATTTTCTATCTCAAAGTTCTCAGCAACTTCTTCTTCTTCTATTATTATTATTATTATTATTATTATTATTATTATTATTCTTGTTGCTGTTGTTTTTTATAATTTATACAATTAACCTCCCTATTGTTTGACCTCAGTCTTGCTGGGTTATTTATTACTTCAATATTCCTGCACTTGAAAAAAGATATCAATCTTTTGATCGTGTCATTTGATATTAATTTTGACCATGAAAAAGGTTGATCTTGATGTCAATGTTATATTCGATAAGAGAAGTTCTATCATAATGTTCTTTTGTCTTCATCTTGCTTGAGATTATAGATTTAAGCTTGAGAAGTTTTTTGTATTCGAATTGATGTTTAGCTATTTGATCAATTATTTGCTGATTTGAGACTATAAATGGATTTATTTAGGTCTTTATTGTATTTTCTAGGTGTGTCCAGGTAAAAGTTGTTGAGAAATGGATTTTAAAGTCCAAAATCTCCTCCTTGATTTTTCAACCATCCCTACGATGGTCGGATTTAATTACATGTTGTCTATGTTTTTTGAAAGAAAAAAATAGGTAAATGATGCATTGCCCACCTAGTTTAATTAAAAAAAAGGGCTTAAACATGTAAGTCTCGGGTGGCTAATCCATATACTTGTCCTTGTTTTTTATTTTTTTCTTTTTGTTCTTTGATATTTTTTTTATTTTTGATTTCATTCTTCAACGTTGAGTTTTTGTTTATTTTTTATAAACTTTTTTTTTATCATTTCTATCCTTCAATATTTGGTTGATTTTACATTGGTCTTCGTAATCTTTATCAATTAGCTTTCTATAGAATTATCATAATCTCAAACAAACTTCCTCATATTTAGTTGATGCCTAATTTTGCAAGTGTTAATCTTTGTTGACAAGTAATTAAATAAAAAATAAATTGAGAAAAAAATACAGTAATTAGACCTAGTTGAGTGCATGACTCAAACCGTGAGTTTGACGGGTTCACTTTATCTTTTTTTTATCTTTTTTAAATTTAATTTTTTTAATCTCAACCTTTAACATTTGATTGGTTGAGAATTAGGTTTCATAATTTATTTTGATTTTGATTTTTAAGGGGCTATCAAGGTCTTATGACCTGGGTTTCGGGTTTGGCAAATTAACCTAATTCGACCTAATTCAATCTAATATGTTGTCATATTAATAAAAAAAAAATTAAAGATGTTCAATATTCATTATCTTAGTATTTAAAAACATGGTGTCCAATATACATCAAATTTTGAATTCATGATTAGGATTTTTTTCCTACTAGAAAATACGTCAGCAATGTTTGAATATTTTTTATATATATTAAAAAAAATATATCTTACCCATGATATGAAAGTCTAGGTGAACCTAAAAAGAATGAATTAAGTTCCCTCTTAAAAAGCTTTTTGACAACTTAAAATAATATATAGCACACTTTAATAATTAATACAAATAAGCTCAAAATGATAATAGAAGCAAACTTAAAGATGTACCAAAACAATCAACACAATAAGATAGGAGATAGAGTTAAGAGAGTATGCACCGGGATTTTTATAAAGGTTTGAACAATCATCTTTTTTATTTTTGAACCATTGTTCAAGAGTTTGTTATCATACATGGTAATTTTAGAGAATGAGACCAAAACTTTACATGATTTTCACATATTAAATATTGAAAATATTTTTCATTCCTTTTCCAGGTTCAAGATTTAACCTAATTTTTTTATGAGCTCAACATTAAACCCAATCATTTTACTTTCCTGGATCAAACCTATTATAATTTCTTTATGAGCTCAACATTAAACCCCATCATTTTTTTTTCTTTTTTTCTTTTTTAAGAATCAAGATTAAAAACATTTGTCAATCCTTTTCCAGTTTCCAGATTTAATCTAATTCTTTTATAGGCTTGAGTTGAAAAACAATCCTTCTACACATGTTAATGATCAAACCTTCCACCTAATTTTTTTAATATTTAAAAAAGTAGAAAACCCCTACCTCCCTGCTAACTATTAAACCATTTAAATAACCTTTAAAAGTCTTTTTCAAGTGTTTTAAGTGTGACTTATATTTTCAAGTATTACTTTTTTAATAGAATTAAATGGAATATAAATGAAGAATTTAAAGGAGATTTTCCAAAAACACTTCAACCTTATTTTTTTATTAATCAAGAGTATAACAAAGGTTGTAAAAGGTTATATAAAAGTAAAAATATGATTAGAATTTTGCCTTGGATGTTATTTTTTATTTTAGAAAGAAAGGGATATTTATAAGAGTAAAATATCAAACTAGTCATTAGATACACTTTTCAAAAAAATTATGTTTGTTAAAGAATCAATTAGATCATTGCTAAAATTGTTAAACCATTTAAAGATATTAGGTAAATTCTATTATTTTCATAAAATAATTAAACCATTTTTCAAACTAGTCAGACTATTTTTAAAAAAAGAAATTTTTTTAAATCAATTAAATTGATCTAGGTATCAAAAAGATTCTTTTATTTGTATGCTTTGGTCTTTTCTTATATTCTTCTAGGTCTATGTTGTTTTTATAAGAGTGGGAAATAATTTCCAAACAAATTAAAAGTTATTTGATAAACTCTCCACACAAAACCTTGATATTTGAAGTTACAAATTATTATGCATCATGTTTCATGTTTGAAGTTAAAAACCATTATTGCATTATTTCATGTATCCATGCCTTGTTTCTTTAATTATTTTTTTAAATGATTCTATACTCTTAAATCCTGTATAAATCATCACCAAGCTGTGCAACATACAAATACAAATAATATATTTTCATACAAGCTCTCAAATAAACTTAAACATTAATACATGTTTCATACAAGTATATTAATACAACAAATAAAGTCAATCAAAGCATTATTCTTCTTATGTTAGTTAAGACATCAATGTAAAACATATACTTAAATAGCCATATACTATAAAAAATTTATATTTATTATATCGTGATATATAGTTTAACTTATCATCAAGTAATCCAATTGATTCCTCTGTGATTGTGCTAATCATTAAAAATAAAATACAATCGTGATTTAAAATGTATATTGTTATATTAAATAAATAAATAAATAAATGTGATCAGATCATCTCTTTTCCAAACATGAACCCTAGCTATCATCTTAAATTCAATTGTATCTAAGAATCCCATGTGATCAAATCATCTCATCAGGCTCAACAATCTCGATAGAGATCTGGATCTTTAACACCGCATGGTGTTAGTTTCTTGCTCGAATAAAAAGAGGTTTACCCATCCAGAGAATTCACTTTCCCATGTGTGAATAACAACGTAACAACTAGTGTTGGGATCTGCAACCAAATAGAATTCACTTTTCCATGTGTGAATAACAACTAGTGTTGGGATCTGCAACCAAATATCAATAAATATTTAGTAACCACAAATTCCTAAATATAATCAACACTGAGAAATGCAATCAAGAGTTTTGCCTTCTGTTGAATGGCAAGTTCAGCTTTTCTCTTATTCTTGCTTAAATTCTTCATATAGTTGGTAATAGACCTATCCAGCTCTCATCATCATGTTGGGAGAGTGATGAACTCCTCTTTTTTATTGCCTGTGCAATGTTGTATGGTTTCTCTAAAGGTAGGATCTAAAGGTTTGTACTAAGCTTTTATTTCTCATCATGAAGCCATGTCTCTCTTGTTTTTAAGGTTTTGAGAGGAAAATAAAGGGTTAAAAAAACTAGAAAAATGAGCATTTTTATAAATACAAGGTTGATATTGGTAAATGAAACAAGACAAAACATTGCTAAATCCATAGAAGCTAAATTTTAAAATACAATTCAACTTTATATATCCTAAGTTTTTGGTTTTTTGTGGAATTGTGAAGAAAGAAAATATCATACAATCACATTAAAAAAAATATCCTTAAAAAATAAAAATATATTATTTTAATGCATTATAAGCAAAAACATTTTAAGAAGTAATGTTTCTTGCACTCTCAAAGAGCCCACATTCTATGAATTGAAACCTTTACTTGCTCTATAATATGTCAGGGATATCATTAATTAATGAGGATTCAGTTATGTCAGTCTATATCAAGTACCAATAATGAACTTTTCCAATGAAAAATGTATGAATTTACCAGTAAATGAACAAAGATTTTATGTAGGAATTCTCATTTCATACTATATATTATGATCAGTACATTGATGTTTTCAACTTATCTGGAGCGATGGAAGCCCCCAATTCAGCATTGTACACAAACTGCAATCTGCAGATAAAATAGATAGCTAATGGAAAAGCCACGCGTGGGCTCCCAGACAGCACATTACATGACTGCAGCTACCTAAATATGGGAGTCAGTGGGAACCTTTTAGGATTCAAGGACGTTCCTTATTGATTCTATGACTGCTTGCCCACTGACATAGTGCTGGCGGCAAACAGGCATGTAGACATCAGACCCTCCAATTAATTCTGTCTGGGTCTCTGCTGTCTTCCTCAAGGTAAATAAGGCTCGCTTGCCACAAAGTTCACACCTTGCAATCAGCTTTGTTACAGTATCAGCAAGCGGTATTATATCAAGCACAGATCCGAAGCTCCTCCTACCAATCAAAGGTAATATAAATCAGATGCCAATTTACAATGAAAGATCTCCTAAAGTCGAACAACAACATTTGTCAAACCAAATTAAATTACTAAGAAATAAATTGAGCAACACCTCAAATAATCCCCATCAAGGCCAGCTACAATTATAGTTTTCCCATCATGATCAGCAGCCTTGCAACAGAATTCATAAAGTTCTTCAAAAAATTGAGCCTCATCAATGCCAATCACGTCAAGCTGTCAATAAACATAGATCATGAGAAGTGGAGGATAGAGAAAATATGAATTGCAGTAAAATCATCAAACCAATCACAACATTTTATTTTTAGCAAGCTTTCTTTCAAACTCGTAAAAAGAAAAGGAAAGGAAAGGAAATCTTATTTTCCTTTTCTCTCCGAAACCCATTAATCAGCGGCAACAATAATAGACCCTGTTTAGATATGATTATGAAATAAACGAATCAAAACGCAAAAAAAGAAACCTTGTGATATTCATCCTCTCCAAGCTTGTGATGGAAAGAGGTGAGATCTGGCAAAGACCAGCAAGGAAATTTCAAGCCATCATGCGTGACCATCGAATCGTTTGCATATCTTGTGTCCTTGCTTGATTTTATCATTGCCACATTTCTACATTAAAAATAATATTCAAGATCATTATTTTCAAAAATCAAAATTAGAACTTTCCTTTCGCGTATCTAATACCAGATCATAACCCTCCCCAAGAAAAGAAAAAGGAGAAGAAGAACATGCCGCTGCTGCTCTCAGATTCGATACGACGGAGTAAATCGGTGGTTTTGCCAGTAAACAGGGGGCCAATGATGACATGTACTTCACCGGCCTCACAGCGGCCACCGTTAATCGAAGTCAAAGCAGCCATGGGAGAGTAATAAGCTGGAAGTTAGGGGGAAGAATTTGGGAATTGGGAGGGTGAGAGGATGGGAAATGGGGAGAGATTTATGTTCTGTTTGGAACTAAAAATACATAAAAGAAGGCTAGTTTTGATTTTGAATGGTTTTGGAGGGAAAAGAATTGGAGGGAAGTTGAAATATGAATTTCCTTTTCTTTTTCCTTTTTTAAATTGAGCACTCGTGCATGAGTCATGCGATCTGATGGTCGACCAAGTCGTCGCTGGCTGAGCTGTATGTATCTTTCGTGTTAGATATTTTAATATTTTGATAGCTGTTATTTTAAAAATATATTAAAATAATATTTTTTTAATTTTTAAAATTTATTTTTTATACCAGCATATTAAAAAATTTAAAAATATAAAAATAAATAATTCAAAAAATAAATAAATTTAATTGTTTTCAAAAACCACTTTTATATTTTTACTTCCAACTAATTTATTTCGTGTTTTAAAAGTTTTTTTAGAAAATATTAAATTTTATTTTTTTACTTATGTTTTTATATAATTTTGAAATGCTGATTTTAAAATAAATTTTAAAAAAATAAACAATATATTTAAATATATTTTTAAGTCAAATCAGAAAACAACTACTAAAATATGCACTGAAGAAATTTTGATTATGTGGGGTTAGGCTCATTGGGCCCACTTTGATTGTCCAATTTCATTTGGGCCCACCTTTTGACCTTTTTTTTTTTTGCCCTTTTTGTTTTCAGAATGCATAAGGCCATCAGCCCATCAGTGCCGTTTTTAGAATTAACTAACCTGCAGAGGCACACTCCACCGTGAATAGAATTTTAAATTAAACAATATTGGAGTTATGTTTGTGTTTTTCAGTATTATGATACTTTTAACTAAGAATGAAAAGATAATGTATAAATTGAAATATATATAAACTAATAAATTATATATTAAAAAATTTATTAATATTAATTAAAAAATAAAGCGGTAAGTTGATTATTTTTATAAAAAATAAAATAGGTGTGAATGAAAATAATTTACCTCAAATATCCTTTTTATTTTATACTTTTACTTTCATATTTAAGGTTAATTTTGATAACTACATACCTATTTTACCTTAACCTTCCTTTTCATTTTATATATTTTCTTTTATTTGTTTTAAAGGTTAATTTTGAACATTATATACATATGATTTTTGTTTTAATAAATTGTAAAAATTTATTTAAAGTATTATGAAAACACATAAATAATTCAAAATATATATTAATATTAAAAAAATAAACTAAAAAATTTAGAAAATGATATATGTTGTTGATTAAAATATAAATTGAAAATTAAAAAAGAGATGGGCTATTGTTAAGCTTAACAGATCAAATTCACACATTTAGCTTTTAAATTTATTTATTTTTTAAATGGAAAATATGTTATCTATTAATTTATTTTTTATTATTGGATTGGGGTTTAAGTTCCTGGACATTCAAAATTTAATTTTTAATTTTTATCTAAAAACATCTTGAAAATCATTACAGAAACATCAATAAAAACATATTTAATTCTAAAACACCCTCTAATTAATTTAAAAATAAAATAAAATTTGCAAGTCTTAATCTACTTTTTCTATGATGGTTAAAAGTTAAAATCATTTCTTGTGAACTTTTATTTTTAAAATAAATTCATTAATATCAAGATCAATTTTTTTTACATAGCCAACCAAAAATTTTCTCTTGTTTTACTTTCTTGACAAGTACCTATGTCTTTTGAGAAGTTTATTTAAAGTATTTTTTTTAACACTAAGATGTTGATTTTGGTCTTTTAAGTTTTTTTCCTCCATAAAATGCATTCTTTTCTTGTAAATTCTCTTCATCTTATTTACTTTTTCCTCTTTTTTTTTTTCTATTTCTTAAAAAAAATCATAAAAGAACATGAAATTGACAAAAAGAATTAAGCTGTAAAAAGATCTAAGAATACAAGGATTAAATGTACATTTTCTAAAAATATGAGGACTGGTTAACTAGTGGTGTTACAATACAGGGACTAAGTTATAATTAATTCCTACATTGTAGAATTAAAAAAATTACAGTGGACGCTGTGTGTCAATAGCATGCTTGAACAATAATATCCTGAATAGGGATTGCAATTTGTTGACTCTATTGGATGTTTTGTTCCACGCCATACAATTAATAATTTGTAATTAGATGGTCATGGAAATTATAGGGTTAACACCGTAGCTCCTTCATAATATAGTCTTTTCATTTGTTATTTTTAAATTTACAGGGGAAGAATTGTTTTTTAAAAAAATTAAACACTATTAAAGCAAAACCAAAATGTTATTTAAGTTGCATTTTGGGGATTGTTCATATCTTTCCTAGTTTTTTTTAGTTATTATCCACTACAATAATTTGGGTATGATGGATTTTTTTTCTCTTCCTTCTTTTTTTTATTTTTCCAAAATATAAAGATGTTTTGTGATTTGTTTTTTTATGTTTAACATGGTTTTTAATTTTTTATTGTTATTTATTTTTTTATCTTTTTACAAATTTTTTCTTCAATTCCATCCATTGTCATTTGTTTTATTTAGTTTCTAAATCTAATTTTATTTTTATTTTTTTGATTGATGTTTAATTTTTTTAATTATTTTTCTAATTAATTTTTATTTTTAATTTCATCTCTCAATATTCAATTTTCATGTCAAATTTGATGTCTATTTTTTTTATTGTTATATTTTTATTTTGGATTATTTTTTATTGTATTTTTTTTCAAATTCATCCTTATTGATTAAGAATTTTGTTCCACCATGTTTTAAGTTTGTCTTCCATAAGATTAGTCATGGGTTCACAGTTAAGGTCGTGAATTTTGAAGGTTAACATAAGTTAGTTGTAGTTTTTTTTTAGATTTTTTTTAAATTTTTTTTTTTAAATTTCATCATTCAATATTTGATTTGTCAAAAAGTGATCTTTATGCTTTTTTCTTACTTTTTTTTCTATAAAGTTATCCTAGTTTTATGTTTATGGTCGCTGATTTAACAGATTAACTCGAGTCTACTAAAATATTTTTTATTGCCTTTTTAAATTAATTTATTTTTTAGTTTTGTCCTTCAATACTATATTATTTAATAATTGAGCTTTATAATTTTATTTATTTATTTTCCAACATGGTAACCTCAATATCATGTCCATGTCGCAGATTTTGCATGTGGACCTGGGTCGGATCAAATCAGGTTTTTTTTTCTTTTTTTAATTATATTTGTTGTTCAACTTCATCATTCAACATTTTATTTGTTATAAATTGAGCTTTGATTTTTATTTTTTTTTTGCGTTTTATGAGATTATCATGATTTGTTGTCAAATACGATCCTCCATTATTTGGTTTTTTAAAAAAATATTTTTTTAATTTTATCATTCAACATTTAATTGATTTAGGATTGATCTTTAAGCTTCTTCTTTTTTTCACTTTTATTTTTATGGGGTTATCTTAATATTATATCAATGGTTGCATGATTTATAAGTTAACTCGCATTTATTTTTTAATTTTTTAAGCTATTTTTTTGGTTTTTCTCTTGAACATTGGGTTGTTTGGTAATTGAGTTTAACAATTTTATTTAGTTTGCTTTCAATGAGGTTACCTTAATATCATGATTAGGTCGTAGATTTAACATGCTAACTCGGATGTGCTTAGGTTGGCTTTTCATTTTACCTTTTTATCATTGTCAAAAAAATTTCTAGTTTATTTATCATCGTTGTATTTTTTTATTTAAATCATTTAAATTAATCAAGCTTATTAAATCTGGAACCTGGTCATATCAATAATTCAAGTCTGATATATATTTTTATTATTATTTTAAAAATACTTGTGTAGCCTTGATATTTTTTAAAACATAGAAAAAAAATTGGATAGGCAATCTATCTAGTCTAAGGATATTAAGAAAAAACTAAAACTGCTCAGTGTTTCATTGTGCAAGTCCACAGTGAAATCTGAGCAGTTTTCTTCTTTTTCTTTTTTCTTTTGTTTTTTTTTCATTTTCTTTTCTAATTTTTTTAGTTTTTTTTAGTTTTTTATTTTTTATTTTCTATGCCTTTATGGATTTTTTTTTTGCTTTTTTCTTTGTGTATTTTTCTTTTAATGAATTTTTTTTTGTTTAATTTAGTTTGTTAATGTTAATTTTTTTTATTTAGTTATCAAATTTTCATAACACGGATCCCGGGTTTGAAGGATTAACCTGATTTGATGAATTAACCTGAATTTTTTTTCTTTTTAATTAATAACATATATTAAAATTGTTTAGTATTTCATTGTGCAATTCACAGTGAAACACTAAGTTGTTTTTTTATATATTTTTTTATATTTTATTTTGCTTTTTATGCCTTTATGGGTTTTTTTTGTTTTTTTCTTTGTGTTTTTTTTTTCTTTTAATGATTTTTTTTATTTTAGTTTGTTAATGTTTATTCAAGAAAAAAATTAAACCGTGACGCATGCCTTTGTTTTTTATTTTTCTCTTTTTCTTTTTAAGTCTTGTACTATGAATTGCACAATGCAATTCACAATGAAAAAGCTGATGCCTTTATTTTTTTTTAGATTGTTTTTTTAATTTAGTTTCTTAATATTAATTTTTTTCTATTTAATTATCAGACTTTCATAACATGGATCTCAGGTTTGACGGGTTAACCCAGTTTATTCATATTTTTTTCTTTTTTTTCATTAGTTTTTTTTCTTCTTGTAGGTTTTCTTCTCTTTGCTTTTTCCTTTTTAATTAATCTTTTTTTTAATTTTTTTTAATAATAAATTATTTTTCTATTTAGCTATCACACTTTCATGATACGAACTTTCAGATTTGATGGGTTAACCTGGTTGATTCAGATTTTTTTTTCTTTTTCCTCATTAATTTTGTTCTTCCGATTTCATCTTTTAATATTGTATGCAGTCCACAGTGAAAAGGCTAAAGCCTTTAGTTTTTTTTTTGCTTTTTTTTTTGTGTCTTTCACTGTGGACTGCACAGTGCAGTCCACGGTAAAAAGGCTGATGTTTTTTTTTAATTAATTTTTTAATTTAGTTTGTTGATATTAAATTTTTTTTTTATTTAGTTATCAGACTTTCATGACACGGATTTCAGGTTTAACGGGTTA